ACTGTAAACTTCCTGACAGGCATTTTGGTATATCGGATTTTCTTTGTAAAAAGTTAAGATGATTTGTAAGAAAAGAAATCTTCAAGTCTAGATTTGTACAGTTTTTTAAACATCCCACTCTTTGGTGTTCAAGAGAGAGAGAATCCTAATTTGAAATCTAACTTACCTTTGGATGGAAATGCTGCTGAGGCCGCTGAACCCAAGTGGCCGTGATGGGCACACTGCCAGAGAGGAGTAGGTTAGGGGAAGGAATGGGGGGGAGCGGGGTGAATGCAGAAACACAGACTTCAATATGATCTTCCTGTGGCATTTAGGTGCCTAGCAGATGAGCACAATGCAAAAACAACAACAAAAAAGACATCTGGTCTAACTCACTGAAGGCTTTGAACATACGCAGTTTGGATACTTTTATTTAAAAGCGGTATGAAAATATTAAGGCCTTATTTGTCATCTCCACGGAGGACCGATCATGCCTGCCTATCGCACTGCTTGTATTTGTTTGTTTATAGTGTGTATGGGGACAACCCCAGAATCGGCCACCGCCTCTTACAGGTGAACAAGTCACCAAGATTCCCTTACATCCCACAGCTCTCAGTTCCATCCAGAGGCACTAGCTGGTGCCCAGCATCCAGGGTGAAAGCAGGGTGAAGCTTCTGTCATCGCCGCTGGTTGCACCCAGGACTGGCTCTGGATGGAGCAGGTCCTGCCCTTCTCTGTGCAACAGTGAAGCACAGGCAGAAGATGGCGCGGGGGGGGGGGGGGGGCTTTCCTGGCCAGTGGTTTCATTTTTTTTCATGTTAAACCTCAAGCCCAATGGCTTTCTTTGACTGAAGCAGGACAAAGGGCAGCAAGCTTCCACTCTGCACCGCAAGCCAACTGCACCCACGCCAAAGTTCATTCATGCGCCTTGGCACCCCAACTTAGTTACTCAGAATCCCAGGCATCTCTTGTATCAAGAAATGCCTTTAGGGTAGACCTTTTCAGGATATCTAGAAAAAATATTCTATTTGTGTGTTTCCCCTCACCTCAGAGCTGCCCCAGGTTCCCCCATAGGAGGCCCACTTGTTTTTAAGCAGCTTGTCTCATTCCAGAAACAGAAACCACCCTCTGGTGGGCACATTTGTGGCAGCACTTGTATTTCTTTGAAGGGACAAATCCCTCCAGTCTTTTGTCTAATGCCACAGCCAAATTCAGCTTCCCTAAGAACCTTGGTATGCAAGGGGCATCCTAAGTGGGGCCTCAGCATCTTCTCTGTGTACCTGGCATGTCCTTCTTTCTTCAGTCAAAGAAGGTCTGGTATATTCCAGTGAACAGCCTGGCTCCGACAACGACCTTCTCATTTCTCTGTTGCATGCAGTTGTGTCCCAATGCCAAATAGCAGTCAGAGCTGAGTGTTCTGATCAAGTGCGTTCTTTGGTCACTGTGTGACCTGCTTTACTCTCTCCACATGCTAGATGAATGAGGAATACACACCTGTGTTTTCCAAGGTATTTTTTATGTGTTTTTAAAAACTTTTTAAAATGAGCCTGATACCTGTGTTTCAGCATTTGGAGACATGGCCATGTTGTTGGGTTTTTTTTTTTCATGTATTTACTGATATATATATATATATATGTATATATATATATATATCAGTATATATCAGTATCGTTTGTAACCAAACCATGTTTAATTTATGTGTAATCTTTCTATGTGTATGCGTCATGGTCGCCAACTCTCATATTTTCTTTGATTACATTTACCGTTTGATCTTGCTCTGATTATAACACCAGTGAATGTCGCTGAATTCTTGGGACATGCAAAATGCAAGATCGAGAACATCCTGATGCAAGAATAAACCTCTGAAAACCAAGCTGTGCCTGTGCTGCTTTGGTCACATTTCCGAACTTCGTTCCCCTGCCCAAAGTCCCAGTCCTTTTAGCACGAGGGCTAGGAGTGTAGTTCCGTGGTCAAGAACTTACTTCGCATGTGTGGGGCCCCAAGTTAGAACCCCGGTACCAAAGACAATTTAGAGTCTTACTTAAATGTATGTGCGTGTGTGCAAGTGCATGAGAACACAGATACATGTACAGGTACACAGTAATGGAAAAGTAACTAATACAGCAATTGGCTCCTGGAACACACTGGCTGTGACAGACCTAACCATGTTGAGTAGGTGCAGACGGTGGAAGCATCTGAAATTTGGGGCTGGAAAAACCATTGAGTGCTCAGAGCTTTAGTGAGCTGTTCTGTGGGAACTTGGACAATAACGCTGAAAGGTGTCGAACCATGGAGGCTGGTCTTGCGGAGTTTCAGAGGGAAGCAACGACTGTCAGGCTGCTTGGATGTTTCGGAACTAAGACTGTAGGTTCTGCTCAGCGGGAACTGACAAGAGTGCAGGGCCACCCGAGTGAAACCTTTCCTGGGACAGTTGGTGCTGGCTGACTGGGGCTGAGAAATTAGCTGTGATTAAGAGATCAGAACCACTGAGGAGGAATATTCTATTATTCCTAGCCTAGAGTTTCCTTGTTTGGGACACTGTGCGGAACCTAGTGCTGAGACCTGAGCGTTTCAAATCTTCTTACCTTCTCCAGGGGGAAACCCCAGAACACAGCTTGGCGATGTAGGTCCTGTGAAAACGATCCTAATTAACTTGACTGAAAGCGCTGGCCAGGGGCTATAGCAGCTACAAGTAGTATTTTGTTCAGTTAATCCTCCTGACTGCCTTGAGCTGGAGCACTGAGAACATCATTCAATAGACCAGAAAACTGCCTGTCAAACTGTGACAGGCTTGCCCTAAGTCACACTGCCATGAGCAGGCAAGTCAGATTACACACTATTAAACTAAATCAGTTTTAGTCAAGGGGCTGAAAAATTTCATTTGGAATGCTGATTCTCACTAGGTGCCTGGCTTCTGCCAACCAAGGATCTGCTCCAACCTTACACAGTGGCTCAAGCGCAGAGGCCTGGAAATTTTGCTGGAGCTAAGCTCGCCATTCCAAGGAAAACAGATACAGTGCAGGGGTGTGTTTGGACAGAGAAGACAGCAGTTGGTTGTGGGAGGGGCAGGAGCAAATGACAGCAAAACAGAGTCAAAAAAAGTACAATGTCCCTTTCTTGGGAATCTCCCACCATGGTTTCTGCTGGGAAACTGACCTTGCTAGAGACTGTGGCTAACCACTTGAGGAATGGGTATTTGTTCTCAACTACAAAATTAGCCAAGAAAACAGGTATTTCTCTCATGTTCCCACCAACGTAAATGAAGGATGTGTTCTATGAAATGTGTCTTGAGCACTGGTGTCACCCCGGGGTGAGCATGTTAGTTTATTGTGCAGTAGCCACAGGTGTGTGTGTGATACACTCATCCACCCACACAAGCAGTCAGGTGTGGAGGATCTGGCATGGCTTTCTTCTTTTGAAAGATATAGTCTCTTACTGGATCCATCTTGGCTAGGATGGCTGGCTAGCAAGCCCCAGGGATGGGGTTACAGACCCGTGTCACCATGCCCAGCTCTTACATAGCCCATCTTCGCTAGGCCATCTCCCAAGTCCTGAATGAGCCTTTCAAACCCAGCACATGTAGCCCTAAGGCCAAGTCTATGAGCTCTTGAAATACTAGTTACCTCAGTGAGAAAATGTACTGCCATAGCTCAGGCAAAACTTCCTACAACTAAACAGGCTTTTCACCCATCACCATGGGCCATTCAACCAGCGTGCAGGTGACTGAAGTTTCCTACATACATATAACATTTCTAATTATACATCAGAACAAGTCAGTGTTCCTGTTACTTAAAAGACTTTGATTTAAGATTTAAGTCAGTTAAGGGCACTTTCATGCCTCACACCATCTAACATGGCAAAAATGAGCTCTTTCTTCCAGTGTCTTCTGCCAGCTCAACTGCCACCAGTCCTATGAAGCCTCAACTGTCTGCTTAGGAATAACCTGTTGCCATTCTTTATCATTAAGACATCCTGTGGTAGATGAAATGGCAGAAGTTAACTCGCAGACTCACACAAATTGCTAAATACCTGTCTTCACTCAGGATCTTACAACTGTATACTCAGCTGCATGTGAGACACAGATAAAGAAGTGAGCAGGTTAGGCCATTGGCTGACCAGGGCCTCTCTGTCCAGCCTGCCATCATGACCACATTTGGCAAGGGAGGCCGATGAACAGCCTGAAACAATGATGTGCGATTGCTAGAAAACACAGAAGGGGATTAGGGAACAGGGTGGAAGATAGGAAAGTTGGATATGCAACATGCATAGTGGAGATAAACAAGTTATGACCATGGTCTGAAACGGAGCCTAGGGCTAAGTGAGACTTGGGAAATACTCATCTCATCCCAAATGCTAGGCTGGCTGTGGGTGAAAAGCCTCACGCTGCCAGGCAAGAGGTCAGAAAAGGCGAATAGAAACAAGCTATCATGGAAAACTAGAGTGGCATACTACCCAATAGCAACAGTTCCATGGGCAAGGTAGTCAACTTGTTCAATATAGATGCCAATTGAAAAGCACAGGTAGGTTGTAGAGATGGCTTGGCAGTTAAGAGCACTGACTGTTCTTCCAGAGGACTAGGGTTCAATTCCCAGCATCTACAGGGCAGCTCACAACTGTCTGTAACTCCAAGACACCCTCACATAGATATACATGCAGGCAAAATACCAATGCAAATGAAATAAAATAAATAAATAATTACAAACAAGAAAAGCACAGGCACCAAGCCCTCTCTAACAGAGCAAGCTGTGTCCATGAAGGTGGGCTCACCAGACATCCTTGTTGTCCTGTAAGGTCAAAGACCAAAGGATCAAGCCAACTCACACAAATGACCAATGATCAGACTACAAACCAAACGCTCCATTGTATAGTTATCCTGTGGAAGCTTCACTGCTATAACCACACAACTAATGTATACTGAGAATCTGGCCAATAGAGGGACACAGGACTTCTGCCTTTGCCACTGATCGAGGACACAAGCAGATGATATGATGATGTAGTTGCACAGAGACCACAGGAGGCAGTCAACTTCAAAGCTTTATTGTACAGGATAGAGGGCCACACTTCAGCCTGCCCACCTCCAAACTTTTAAATTGCTATTGCTCTGAGATCCTGGTGACCTCCTTCATGATCTCCACTGGAGTTTGAAGAGAGTATAACCATGAAAGCTCAAAGCTTCCTTCCTTAAACACAGGCAGTATATTATATTACAGTTTATCTTTACATTGAAGATGAAAACCACACTGGAATTTATCATTAAGCTAAATTTATTTTTTCTTCTTAAATGTCTTTGCTACATACTTCTAACTATTCTTGTGACTTCTTGTCCTTAATTTTGTGGTGTATACAATGTCTTCATCCTGTATGGGAAGAGAAACACAACTCCTAAATAATGTGAAGAAACAATTTTTGTGACCAGTTTAACTCTACAAACCCCCAGTTCTTACTAGGTGTCATTCAGGTCTTCCAATCTAAAAATTAATTTTGAGGGATGGAGAGATGGCTAAGTAGCTACAGGTACTTTTGGGTTTTTTTGTTTGTTTGTTTTTTGTTTTTGCAGAGGACCTAAGTTCAATTCCCAGCACCCACATGATGGCTCACAACCATCCAGGGAATTGGATATACTGTTCTGACTGCTGCAAGCAGGCAAGTGATTCACATACATACAGACAAAACACTCACTACACATTTGAAAAAAGAATCTAAAAGTGTTTTTAAAAAATAAATAATAATTAAAGTTGGAAACTAGTTTTACAATGCTTACCTAAAAGCTGTTTTCTCCTAAATATTTTCTTATTTAGATTTTTAAACTTAGATTTTGTGCTCTTTCATAAGTTTCTAACATATATTACATGGTTCACTAGTTAGAAAGCATCAAATACTAAATCTGAAAGTGGCCTGGATGAAAACTTAAGAGTCTTAAAGATAGCTTCCCACAGACAGAGGACAGTCACTGTGTCCTGAGTTCTCCTATGAGGCTGCAAGAGTATAGTGAGTCACTAGGCAGTGGTGGCGCATGCCTTTAGTCCCAGCACTTGGGAGGCAGAGGCAGGCAGATCTCTGTGAGTTCGAGGCCAGGCTGGTCCACAAGAGCTAATTCCAGGATAGGCTCCAAAAGCTACAGAAAAACCTTGTCTCAAAACCTCCCACCCTATCCCTCCCCACCCCAAAAAAAGAGTATAGTGAGTCTTCTAAGGCAGTAGGGAGAGCTACCTGATAGGGATCAAATCTACAGAAAGCAAAAGATGCCAACAGCCTCTCAGAGCAAATAACAGAAATCCTTGTACTGATAAACACAAGACACACCTAGCACAAATTAGGAAAAAGTCAAGGGTGATGCTGGGCATACTTTAGAAGCAGTTTTATGGGTGATCGTGAATGGTAAGAAAAGAAGAGACAAAACAGGAACTCCTTGGTATGTGAATGCTGCTGAATTCTTGAAGACAGTGACAGGTAGCTGCTAACATGGGTTGACTGTACACATGATAGAAAAGCATACATATCAGGTGAGAGGCTTGTTCCTCTAACACTCTGGCAGCATGGGCCTCTGGAAAATACATACACCCCACATATGCAGTTTCTGCATCTATGGACACACAGAAGCACATGACTGGCAGATAGCAAAGAGTGCAGCCCCAGAAAAAATTTAGCATGTGTAGAGTCCCCTGGGTGCTTGGAGGTGAGGAGAAGAGGCCTGAGTGCCTATGACATGATGACCTAACCTGATCACCTTCAGGGCTTGGCAGCTGTGTTCAGGATCATCCAAGGAAAGACTGGCTTTTATTCCTTCCACTTCATTCTGACAAAACACTATTTTCAAAATTATGAATATGTGCTTATAGTTCCTATTTAGAGTGAGAACATGAAATGCTGAAATGCACTGTTAACCCTATAGGGCTGAGAGGAAGTGCTGTGGGACAATGGTCTGTATCCTGTCAATTATATTTTAAATAAATGCTGATTGGCCAGTAGCCAGGTAGGAAATATAGGCGGAACAACCAAACAGGACGTAGAGGCAGATCAATGAGAACAGGTAATTCTGGGAAGAAGGAAGTCTGAGTCTGCAGTTGTAACCCAGCCACAGAAGTAAGATGTGACTGCCTCACTGAGTAAGGTACCAAGCTACATGGCTAGCATAGACAAGAATAATGGGCTAATATATGTTATAAGAGTTAATAAGAAGCCTGAGCTAATGGGTCAATCAGTTTATAACTAATGTAGACCTCTGTGTGATTTCTTTGGGACTTAACGATTGCCGGAACCCGGCAGGACAGAAGCCCCCAACAACAGAGAGCAACTGCATATCACTCCCACAAAAGCAACTGCCCACCCTATCTTTAACTTTTCTTACAATACAATGTAACCATGACACTACCTGACAATACAGGAGTACTTACAGTCCATTAGCTTAGATTCTGTGTGGTAAAACGACATACTCCCTACTGAATAAAATTTACCTACTTCTAGTTACCTAGGAGCCAGCCAGTTCTGGGTTTATTCTGCCTTTTTATTATTTTTTTTAACCAGACTTATTTTATATCTGAGTGGTTTGCCTTCATGTATGTATGTGGAGCACGTGCTTGTTTGGTGCTCGAGATCAGAAAACATCAGATCCCCTGAGTATAGAATTATAGGTGGTTATGTGTCACAAGAGTCCTGAGAATTCTATCTGGTTCATCTGAAAGAGCAGTCAGTGCTCTTAACTGTTCAGCCAACTCATCAGGCCCTATTCAGCTGTTTTAAAGGACGACTTTGGAGGTCTTAGGCCACCTTTGTTTTAGTTAAGTGTTGCTGACCTAAAGAGGCTGAAGATGCCATCTATAACCATGATAAGCACCATTACAAGCCCCAGAGAGTGACACTGGATGAATGCACAGCTCTTCTGGAATAAAATCTTCCATAAGATAACTCACTATTCAAAGTGGAATTACCAAAACACACAAGAAAGTAGGTGGTTTGGATGATGGCTTCTCCCACTAGCATAGCTGGGAGCTGCTGGCGTGTTCTGATTTGCCTTTGCAACCTGGGCATAAAAATCAGAAGATTCCCAGTCTTGCAGAATGTAAAACAAAAGGGGCTTACCTTTTTTGGAACTTTTATATCTTTCTTGGCACCCCGAGTTACTTTTGGGTTAGGTTCACTGTCCAAAGTGGCTCCAGTTTTTCTGGATCTCAAAGACCTGGCATCTAAATCTCCAGAGACTCCTTTCTCTTTCTGTGTCTTCAAGATTTTTGCGCCAGTCTCACTTGTTTTCTCCTCTGCTGCACGAGGCTGGGGAATCTCACTCTGTCCTCTAGACCTTAAGCACGTTCTTTTCCCACTGACTTTGCCCCTAGATGTAGACTTCTTGGCTCCATCATCTGTGTTCTGCAGCTCTGTCTCCTGGGAGCTCTTCATGGTCTTCTCGTTTGTCTTCATCCCATCCTTCTCTGTAGATGCACCAACCTTGGGGCTTGGATGTTTTTCACTGTTTTTTTTTCGGTATCTGGAGGGCAGAGGCATTTTCTAAGAGAATGAGAAGACAACCACAAGATGAGTTAAATCTCAAGATCCATTAGGAAAAAATAAAAAGTAAACTAAAGGACCACAAATTTCATATTGATTAATTTAACAAGAGTCATCTAAGACATTTAAAACAATGCCTCAGCTACTTTGTTCCTATGGAAAAAAATCATCTCTGATAAATTATAATTTCAGAGTGACAATCATATCAAAATACTTCAATTCACACTATTGAAGAGTTTCTGGTTTTTTAAAGACAACCAAGGAACAAGGGCCTGAAATCTTTGATGGATGCCATTCCTTCTCAAGGATGTATGTTCCAACCTTATTAGATAGAATACTGTCACATACACAGAACTATACTGCCCACCTGTTTTTTGATTAATTCTTCAAACTGAAGATACATGCAATTCATTTAGTCCCTGACAACTTACTACAGCCACTTTTCCAGGCAGGGAAACTCTTAAGGCATTAGTCTATTCCTTGTGCAAATCCCCAAAGGACATGAATACATCTGTGAATAAGCCCTGCTATGCACCCACTATGTCCATTCCCATTACCTGATCTGGATGGGTTGAGTTTTCTACTTGGGCTTCCTCTTCTGTTTTCATGACATTGCTAACCTGCTCTTCCACTGGTTCAGTTTTGCTTGACATGATTCTCAGGTGTTTCATCTTCACAGGCTCAGGTGACATGTGCCTCTTGCTGGGAGCAGCCCTCTGTTTCTTAGGTGCAGGTTTCTCATCTATTGCTTCCTGCTTTGGAGTCACAGAACACAACCCCCTGGTTCTTGGACGGCCTCCACCTCTTGCAGACTTCCTCTTGGGGGACAGAAAAGTGTTGCTTTTGCTTTGTGATTCTGCAGGGTCTCTGGTATCCACCGACATTTCCACAGTTTCCACAGTGTCCTCTTTAGAGGCCCTTAGCACTCTCCTGCTTGTTCTCAGAGGTTTTATGGGGTCTGGCATTTGCTGTATCGTGCTCTTAAGGATACTGGTGTCATGCCTTAGTTTCTCAGTGTGCTCTGATATTTGAATTAATTTTTTGGAGTCACCCAGGACTTCAAAAGGTTGGACCTTATTCTTATGTGCCCTTAGCTGCCTCCTGCTGCCAGTTACATTGGAAACTGTTTCTAATTGCTGCTCTCCAGACTCTTTTGAAGCTTGGGTGTCTTTGTCATCAATTTCAGGGACCTTATGGGATCGTGTAGTTTGCCTTGATGTTGGCACTGTCTTCTTCACTACTGAAGGTTCTTGGTCCACCTCTATTTTCCCACGTCTTGTCCTAAGACGTCTTAGTGAGGTCTGGAGGTTGTCTGCTTGCTCTGGTTGTAGAGAATCACAGGGTACTCTTGTGGGTCTTTCATCACTTGATAATTCCTCAGTGTGACCTGGAATTTGGACTGGTTCTATGGGTCCAGTGACTTCCAGGGGTTGTGTCTTTTCCCTGGGTACCCTCCGTGGCCTCTTGCTGACAGGCACACTTGCTACGGGGTCAATCTTCCGCTTTGTAGACTCCTTAAGCTCTTCAACATTTCCACTATCACTCATGGGCTCTTTGAGTGTATTCCTGGTTACCCTGCTTCGTGGCTTTCTCTGAGCTGTGGGCTCTTCTTTTACACCTACTTTGCACAGTTGTATTCTGAGCTGCCTCTCTGAGGATGCTGAGCTTTCCTTTTCTTCTGGTTGTGGAAATTCACAAGATATTCTTGTGGCTGTTTCCTCTTGGATGCTGGGCAGCTCCTTCAAGGGTTGGGTCTTCTCCTTAAGTGTCCTTGGTTGCCTCCTCCTACCGGTTAAAATTACAGCTGGGTCTTGTTTCTGCATTGAAGATTCCTTAAACTCTTTGACATCTTTGTTGTCACCCACAGGCTCTTTGTATGTGTTTCTGGTTTCCCGCAACACTTTTGTAGTCTTTCTTTGTGCTAGAGGCTCTTTCATCACACCCTCTCTCCTGAGTCTTCTTCCTGTCTGTGTTTCTGAAGTTGTGTCCACAAGCTCTGGAGATTTGCTGAGCATCTTTGTGGTTTTGTCAACAATCACTGGCTCCACTGCCAAGCTTGGAGTTTGGTAGAGCTCTTGAAACTCAGGCAGATCCTCTAGGGTCTGTGCCTTTTCTGCTCGTGCAACTCGTTGTCTCTTGCTGCTGGGCACACTGACTGCTGTGTCCAATTTCCGTTTTACAGATTGCTTCCTTGTTCTAATGCCCTTGTCTTCACATTCAGGTACTCTAGATATGTCCATGATTTCCTCTGACATTTGCGGAAGCATTCTGTCTCCTGAGAGTTCACTTTTCACATGAACTTTCATCCGTCTAGCTCTGGACGGTCTCTGTGAGGTTACTGAAGTGTTTATTGGCTCTGGTAGCAGAGATCTGTGGGGCATTTTTGTGAACTTATCACCTGCCAATGAATCCTTGTCATGGCCTGGTGTTTGGAAGAGCTCCTGGAGACCAGAGAGGTCTTCTGGGAACTGGGACTTTTTCTTACACGCCCCTTGCTGCCTCTTGCTGCTAGTTACACTCACTGCTGGGTTTAATATCTGAGCTGCAGATTCCTTTAAATCTTTGGTTCCTGTGACATCATTTTCTGAAAGTCTGAGTACATGCATGTCTTCCTGTGCTGAACACGTTCGTTTATTCAGCGGAGAGAGTTGTTCTCTCACATCCACCTTACCAAAACCTGTCTTGGACAGTCTCTTTGTGCTTGCTGGGGTTCTGACTGGCTCTGCTTGTAGAGATTCCAAAGACACCTTTGTAGTTTCCCTAACAGTTACTGGGTCACTGGCACCAGCTGGAGTTTGGAAGAGTTCTTGGAAGCCATCCAGGTCTTCTAGGGGTTGAGCCCTCATCTTAGGTGTCCGTGACCTTCTCTTAGATCCTGCTGAATTCTCTGTGAAATCCAGTTTCTGCTTTGGAGTTTCCACAAAGGCTGTGGTATCATTCTCTTCGAGCACTGGTGCTGTAGGTGTGTGTGAGGTTCTGCCTGGCGACTTTGTTCGTTTTCCAACTGTTGAAAGCTTTTCTCTCTCATCTGCCTTATCAAGACCTGCCTTGGACAGTCTCTTTGTGCTTGCTGGGGTTCTGATATGTGCTGGTTGTAGAGATTCCAAAGACACCTTTGTAGTTTCCCCAACAATTACTGGGTCACTGGCACCAGCTGGAGTTTGGAAGAGTTCTTGGAAGCCATCCAGGTCTTCTAGGGGTTGAGCCTTCATCTTAGGTGTCCGTGACCTTCTCTTAGATCCTGCTGAATTCTCTGTGAAATCCAGTTTCTGCTTTGGAGTTTCCACAAAGGCTGTGGTAACATTCTTTTCAAGCACTGGTGCTGTGGGTGTATGTGAGGTTCTGCCTGGTGACTTTGTTTGTTTTCCAAGTGTTGAAAGCTTTTCTCTCTCATCCACCTTACCAAGACCTGTCTTGGACAGTCTCTTTGTGCTTGCTGGGGTTCTGATATGTGCTGGTTGTGGAGATTCCAAAGTCACCATTGTAGTTTCCCCAACAGTTACTGGGTCACTGGCACCAGCTGGAGTTTGGAAGAGTTCTTGGAAGCCATCCAGGTCTTCTAGGGGTTGAGCCCTCATCTTAGATGTCCGTGACCTTCTCTTAGATCCTGCTGAATTCTCTGTGAAATCCAGTTTCTGCTTTGGAGTTTCCACAAAGGCTGTAATATCATTCTCTTTGAGCACTGGTGCTATGGCTATGTGCGAGGCTCTGCCTAGTGACTTTGTTCGTTTCCCAAGTGCTGAAAGCTCTTCTCTCTCATCTGCCTTATCAAGACCTGCCTTGGACAGTCTCTTTGTGCTTGCTGGGGTTCTGAAATGTTCTGAAGATTCCAAAGACATTTTTGTAGTTTCATGAAGAGTCACTGAGTCTTTATGACTAGCTGGTGTTTGGAAGAGTTCCTGAAGATCAAATATGTCTTCTGGGGACTGAGACCTTTTCTTATGTGTCCCTCGCTGCTTCTTGCTGCCAGTTACATTTACTAATGGGCCTAGTGTGAGAATTCTGGATTCCTCCAGATCCTTGTTCTCTCTCCCATCATCTTCTTGAAGTCTGGATGTGTGTACAATCTCCCCTACAGCACACCCAAGCATATTCACTGAGGAGATCTCTTCTCTCATATGCTCTTTTCCAAGACTTGTCTTGGCTAGTCTCTTTGATGTTTGTAAGGTTCTAACAATCCCTGGTTGTGGTGGAGATCTCAAGGACATACTTGTTCTTTTGTTACCAATTACTGGATCAGTGCTGTGGCCTGGTGTTTGGAAGAGTTCTTGGATGCCATCAAGGTCTTCCAGAGGTAGAGCTTTTACCTTAGGTGCTCTTCTCTGTCTTGTAGACTCAATTATACTTACTGCAGTCTCTAGTTTCTCCTTTGAAGTCTTCCTAATTGCTTGTATTCCTTCACCCATTTGTACTGATGCTGTGGGGGCTTTGCCTGGTAACTGCTTCTGGAGAGCTGAAAGTTCTTCTGTCACATCTGTTTCCCCGAGACTGATCTTGGGCAGACTCTTTCTGCTGGTGTGGTTTCTAAGTGGTCCTGACTGTGGAGATTTGGTGGGCATTTTTAAAGTTTCACCAATAGCCAGTGAATCCTTAGAATGGCCTGGTGTTTGGAAAAGCTGTTGGAAACCACTCAGGTCTTCCAGGCATGGTGTCTTATCCTTAGATGCACATCGTAGCCTCTTGCTGCTAGGCAAACTAGCTGCTGAATCCAGTTTCCGCTTTGCAGATTGCTTCGGTGCTCTAATGACATTGCTATCATTTGATACTTGGAGTGTGTCTATGGTCTTTTCTATTTGTTGGCATTTCTCTGATTCTGAAAATTCTTCTTTCGCTTCCATTTTACCCATACTTGCCCTGGACTGTCTCTTTATGCTTCTTAGGGTTATGACAGGATCTGGTTGTGGAGAATTAAAGGACATTCTTTTGGTTTTGCCAACAACCAATGTGTCTGGTGTTTGGAAGAGCTCCTGGCAATCAGGAAGGTCTTCTAGAGATTGGCCCTCTTTCTTAGGTGTTCTAGACTGTTTCTTAGACCCTGTTAAATTTCCTAAAGACTCCAGTTTCTTACTTGAAGTTTCCATAATTTCTTTTATTCCTTTTTCCTGCTGTCCTGCTGAGGTGAGTGTGCGTGAGGCTCTGCCTGGCGACTTTGTTCGTTTCCCAAGTGTTGAAAGTTCTTCTCTCATATCCGTGTTACCAAGACCTGTCTTGGACAGTCTCTTTGTGCTTGCTGAGGTTCTGACTGGCTCTGCTTGTAGAGATTCCAAAGACACCTTTGTAGTTTCCCTAACAGTTACTGGGTCACTGGCACCAGCTGGAGTTTGGAAGAGTTCTTGGAAGCCATCCAGGTCTTCTAGGGGTTGAGCCTTCATCTTAGGTGTCCGTGACCTTCTCTTAGATCCTGCTGAATTCTCTGTGAAATCCAGTTTCTGCTTTGGAGTTTCCACAAAGGCTGTGGTATCATTCTCTTCGAGCACTGGTGCTGTAGGTGTGTGTGAGGTTCTGCCTGGCGACTTTGTTTGTTTTCCAACTGTTGAAAGCTTTTCTCTCTCATCTGCCTTATCAAGACCTGCCTTGGACAGTCTCTTTGTGCTTGCTGGGGTTCTGATATGTGCTGGTTGTAGAGATTCCAAAGTCACCTTTGTAGTTTCCCCAACAGTTACTGGGTCACTGGTACCAGCTGGAGTTTGGAAGAGTTCTTGGAAGCCATCCAGGTCTTCTAGGGGTTGAGCCCTCATCTTAGGTGTCCGTGACCTTCTCTTAGATCCTGCTGAATTCTCTGTGAAATCCAGTTTCTGCTTTGGAGTTTCCACAAAGGCTGTGGTATCATTCTCTTCAAGCACTGGTACTGTAGGTGTGTGTGAGGTTCTGCCTGGCGACTTTGTTCGTTTTCCAACTGTTGAAAGCTTTTCTCTCTCATCCGCCTTATCAAGACCTGCCTTGGACAGTCTCTTTGTGCTTGCTGGGGTTCTGACTGGTTCCAGTTGTAGAGATTCCAAAGATACCTTTGTAGTTTCCCCAACAATTACTGGGTCACTGGTACCAGCTGGAGTTTGGAAGAGTTCTTGGAAGCCATCCAGGTTTTCTAGGGGTTGAGCCCTCATCTTAGGTGTCCGTGACCTTCTCTTAGATCCTGTTGAGTTCTCTGTGAAATCCAGTTTCTGCTTTGGAGTTTCCACAAAGGCTGTCATATCATTCTCTTCTAGCTCTGATGCTATGGGTGTGTGTGAGGTTCTGCCTGGAGACTTTGTTCGTTTCCTAAGTGTTGAAAGCTCTTCTCTCACATCCCCCTTACCAAGACCTGTCTTAGACAGTCTCTTAATGCTTGCTGGGGTTCTGGCCAGTTCTGGAAATTCTGGATATGGTGATTTATTGGCCATTTTTGCGGTTTTGTCACCAGGGACCGGTGATAGAAAGAGTTCATGGAAACCAGTCAGGTCTTGCATGGGCTGAGCCTTCTCTTTAGCTTTTCCTACCGACTTCTTGCTACCAGTTACAGTCAGGTCCAGCATTTGATTTTCAGATTCCTTCAAAGCTTTAATTCCCCCATGTGCAAGTTCTGGAACTTTGGGAGTATGCCTGGTTCCTCCTGACATGTGCACAAACTTCTTTTGTTCAGAGTGTTCTTCCTTCATGTCTACTTTCTTCCCAGATGTGCTGTGCCATGGTTTTGTGCTTGTTTTGGTGTTATCTGTTGTAGGTTGTGGGGTTTTGCAAAGGACTTTGTCCGCTTTCTGTTTTGTAGCTCTTTGACCATCACTTATTGGTGTACTTTGTTTGTGCATGGATTCCTCTGGTTTTTCTGTGGTTCCTTTTTCTTGATTAAATAGTTCCTCAGCACAGGCTGCTGTTTGAGTGACCATCTGACTTCCTATTAAGTCTTTCACTGGCTTCTGCTTCCTGGCACTTGATCTCATAGCTGATGTTTTTTCTGGATCTTCTTTTAATTCAACACTTTCCTTGAATCTTTGTGAACACTTTTCACTGTCCTCTACCTGTTGATCCACTTCTTGTCCTTGCAGTGATGTCTTCCTTAAGTATCTTACTATGATGCAATGGTCAAGGCCTGCCTCTGTGCTTTCATTCATACTTTCTCCAAGTGTATGTCTGAGTTCTCTAGACCTTCGTAACTTCCTCACACTGGATACTGTCTTCAGAGGCTCTGTCACAGAGCTTGGAGTCTTCTTTTCAAGGTGAGTAATGTTTTGGACATTCTCAGGAGTTTGCACAGTGTTTCCATTTTTGATGCTTCTCCGTCTTAAAGTAGGACTTGCAGAATATTTATCAGACGGTTCCTTTGCTGCATTCTGAGTGCTGGAGAGCGCATTTTCTCCTGTAAGTAACACAATATAATTATACAATAAACATATTCTTTTCACCATCTAAGGTCTACTTAGTATTTCATCTTTAGGAAGTTTATAAGAACAAATAATTTTGTTTCTTATATAACAAGCTACTAACAACTGTTCTATAATGTTATTTGATGATAAAGCAGGACCATTGCAAAGTGTCTTCTAAAAGCTGCCATGACATGTGAGTGGATCTGAATACAGACAATTTTTGTTCTGAAGCATCAGAAAGTTATTTATTGTCTTGATTCACTAATGAAGTAACAGGTTCTGGCCAGGCGGTGGTGGTGCACGCCTTTAATCCCAGCACTTGGGAGGCAAAGACAGGTGGATCTCTGTGAGTTCGAGGCCAGCCTGGGTCTACAAGAGCTAGTTCCAAGACAGGCTCCAGAGCTACAGAGAAATCCTGTCTTGAAAAACCAAAAAAAAAAAAAAAAAAAAAAAAAAAAAGCCGGGCGATGGTGGCGCATGCCTTTAATCCCAGCACTTGGGAGGCAGAGGCAGGCGGATCTCTGTGAGTTCGAGACCAGCCTGGTCTACAAGAGCTAGTTCCAGGACAGGCTCCAAAACCACAGAGAAACCCTGTCTCAAAAAAAAAAAAAGTAACAGGTTCTATTGTGTATGTTTAGGGTCCATTATCAAACTCTATATGTAATCAACAATGACCTTCTCATCCTCCTGCCTCCATCTCCCAAGTACTGGGATTATAGGCATACCACACCAAGTTTTTAAAGGAACTAAGAACTGAACAAAGATTTTCCTGCATGTCAGGCAAGCACTCTACCAATTGAGTATCTCTATCCTTGCAGTAATTCTTAATTTGTGTAATTATATATGACAGGTCAAGTGTACTGTTTGTACTTCCATCTTTTAACAAAGAAGTTAAAAGCACACAGACATCATTTAAACTTATTAACTGAGTCAGTAGTTCTTTCTACAAAGCTAGGTCAGTAACTAGTGTAAGTAAGACTAAAAAGACTGCTGAAAAACAGAACAGAGAAGATGGAAACAGCATTTCACCAGGAAAAGCTATTGTAAAGAAGTAATACAGTACTGTCCAAACAAAACAAAACAAAAGCATCTTGAATTCCCATTCAAAAGTGTAAAAATGGTAACAGACAAATAAACCAACCCAAAATTTCTGAAGTGAAAGGCAGAGGTTTGTCTCCTGAATTAGTTACTTGGAACTGTTTTTCGGGTAAATTCTCTGAATTGGAGAGAATGGAGCCCATGTCATTCATCTGCTGCTGCTTCTCCTTCACTGGAGTCTTGAACATTTCAGTTAGTCCTGATAAAGGAAAATATTGAAACCATGGCTTATATTATCCCATTCCTTATACAGGACAAGTTAGATGACAGAGAAGCTCTCAGATTCTAGGTATGTATCATCTCATTAAAATAAGGATTTTGTTAACATGCTCATTTAAAAATGGGGGGCAATGAGAAGACAAATATATCCAGTTTATTTAACCCTCTCCTATGAAAAAGGAAACCAAGTGATTTAGTTGACCACTGTGGTCTTCTAAACTAGTTCCCAAAAATAAGTCCTGGCAGGGGGACAAAAGCTGGATATGGGCACCTCTTTTCAGGAGATATTCGCCAAGAATTCACAACCTAAGGGCCTTGTTCTATGCTCAAGAAATCCTAGGTTTCTCAGGATCTAAATCTTATATACAAGTAATATGTGCCCACATTTTAGAATACTGACAGAACATTGACCATTTTCAGTGCTATCAAGAACACGCACACACATGCACACACCTTAAGTGTTATTCCCATTCACTTTAAAACAAAAAGGCAGTAGTGACATAACTCAATATGAATGATTAAACTTTCTGAAAAGTTAATGTGCCATGCTCCTGTCTTGTGGCCAACACAGAATGAGAAGCTGAGTTGGCACTCACCACAGAATGGGTCTGGGAACCACTGAGGTCCCATCCACACTAGTCTGTTAAGCAAGTCTATTTCCATAGCCTTCTGTGTCTTACTTGAAATACTTGAAAGGGTTTACTTTCTATTGTTTTAAAATGGAAGTTGCCAAGCCAAGCATAGTATCATTAAGAAGGTAGGAGCAGGCAGATCTCTGTGGGTTTGAAGCCAGCCTGGTTAGTTAAGACTCTGTTCCAAGAAAAAAGGAAAAGGGCATGTGTGTGTGTATGGGGAGAGGGGGGTGCTGTCTACACCAAGGGATGAGAATTGTCTGACTCTAAGAATGGGTCTAGGAGAAAGGAACATTTAAGACAATCCATTGTCTCAGGAATAGTATATTTAAAATCTTATTTATCTTTGAGTTTTTTAAATAATATATATATATATATCCATCACAAACTCATAATTTATAATTGCACAATACACTTAGCTACTTTTTTGCTTGTGTTTTTTATTTTTATAAAGATAAATGAATTGATCCAAATACAGTTCTTTGAGGGGATACTCACAACCATTATACACTGAGGTGTTTGGTCATTTTCAATTCCTAATCTGCAAGAAATAAAAATAAAATTCTACCTGCTCAGTTCAAATATTCTCTTCCAAATTGTACAACTAGAAACTATCACATATCAAGGAACCTGAAATAAATCTGCTTTCTTGAGAGTAAGTCTAAGCAGCCAGTCACACTTTCACTGCTACTAAAGCAGAGTGGAAACAGTTCAATTATCAATGGCTCCAAAGGACTTTCTTATATGGCTTCCTCTTAGCAAGCAGTTAAGCTCTGTAGAAAGAAAATGAATCTTGAAGAAGCATTAATATTGCTCTAAACCAACCGATTCCCTGTGGTCAGCTATCATCAGTGCAACTCCTCTAAAAGTTAGTAAGAGTCCTTTGCCCTCACACCACAAAACACCTTTCCATTTTCTATACGCATGCGGCTCACCAGAGGGTATGTATGAACTTGAGATTTCCATCCCTGTTTCCTGTAGGACACAGAACCCCTAAATAGACAGAGAGCTGCCCTCTACTTCCAATCCACTTCATCTTTGATTATGACACCAGAAAGCTAGCTCGACAGTCACATTCACTGCGGTTGAGCTCCCAGCTGTGGTTCTCAGGTGGCTGTAAGGGGTAGGGTGGGATGGGGTGGAGATAACCACCACTAAGGAAGTCACAAACAGAAGAGCCAAGAAGGCTGTGACTACAGGCATTCAGGTTGTGTTTACCTGACAGATCTTCACTGAAGTCAATTTTTTGGTTTAACATCAAGTTGTTCAGCATTTTGTAGGGCCGAGCAGGCATGCTTACTTTTTCAATCTGAGCTCTTCCTATTACAATGGTACAGGGAGAGTTTACATGGCCTGTGCTAAACTGATTGTGAAGGCTGCTTGTAGGTTTCTGTAGACAAAAACGAGAAAGACAAAATATCACAGCATCAACAATAAATATATGCTTAAGACAATTGAGAATAAAAGTGGTACATGGCTGGAACACTGTACCTTGGGAGTATTAGGTCTTCTTTGTCTTTTGCTCGCCTGCTTTTGAGGAACATGTTTTACAACTTTTGTCTGTGTTTGTTTCGTGCCAAGTTTTACAACATCTGCCCATGATTTTGCAACTGTCAAAAAGAAAATATGGTGAAACTTTTCAAAACATGAAAAAAATTGAGCTTGAAATATTTCACCTAGGACATCACTAACCAATTAAGTTGGCTTCAGAAGCACCACTCCTTCTTTTGGAGGAGATCATCTGTAAAATGTCATGCTGACTTCTGCTGATAGATGCTCTCTTGGCAGGCAGGTTGCCACTCTTCCTGCTTGCTTTCTTAGGAGTGTCTGTCTGAGGTAAGGATTCGCTGCCACTGGAAGCAGGTGCACTCCTGCCTGATCTGCGTCTTTGATCATTTGGGCTTGGTAGAGTTATTCCAGGAGACTCTTGTTTCCCTGGCGACTGAGGTCGTTCCTAACAAGGCAGAATTGTTTATGAGAAACCTGACCATGAGGCAAAAAAAACATCTCTGTAGTGTCTATTAGAAACCTTTACAATAAACCATGTAGCTTTTAAAGCCCGTCTTTCAAGGATAAGAAAGGGCCAATTGTCCCATTCATTTAAGCAAAGGAAGGTAACATACGCATCGGAGAAGTTTGAACTGAGATATTTCTGGTAGATAGAAATGGGGACATCACTCAGTAAAACAAGGCACTCTGATTTCAGCCCAGTCAACAACAGCCTCAAGGTCTGCATAGAAGAGACTACTCACTTCTGTGAGGTGGGACTTCAAGGTAGGAAAGGATTCAGCAGGCCTACTAGGCCTTTTGGGACTAACAGAATAAAGCTGACCAAAGCCCTTTTAGGAAATTGAGCTATGCAGCCATACCAAGGAAAGGCAATAAAACAAAGGGCCAAATGTCTAAGGAGCTGAACGTGCAGAAGAGAGATGTTTTAGCAAAGATTCTCTCTCCTGCAACCTCAATGTCCTTATACTTCCAGAAGAAAACAAAATACTTGTGATTACATATGCTGCTGTCTTCAGATTCTTTTAAATGGTATCGGTGTGACCCAGGAAATTATATGGCCTTGTGGGTGTATCACAGTTTTCAAAGGGAAAGTGTCCAGCATACCACCTCACCTCCCATGTGGTTAAAGCCCATGTGGTTGTTTCTGAGCATGCAGTAAGTGGTAGAAAAAAGAGTCTCAATTGCCATTCTACCTCTGCCTGGATTTGGGGTGGAATGTGGACAATCTGTGAGCCACGAGGTATAAACACAATGTGACTGTTCAGCTTACCTTAATAATTTTCTTCAGGACTGATGGAGTGTGAGGGGCAAGTGACTTCCTCTTGGTCGGTGTTTCTCCTCTTTTGAGTGGTGTATTAGGAGGCAAGTTTTCATCAAATAACTCGGGTCTCAGATGATCACCAAAGGATACACGTCTTCTCTTCAAAGACATTCCCTCACTCTTGTCTGAAGTAAGGAATACAAACATGAAAAGAGCAATATAAACGACATGCCAGGACTTAGGATTTAATTCAAACTAGCATTAGAAAGTAAGGCTTTGAGGAGATACTGAAACATGGCACCCTTATTCATAAAACTGATGAAAGAAGAGCATCTTCAGAACTTCCTAAAAGACCTCAAGAAAAACCAGATGCATTACACTTCAACTGGACAGAACCAGGGTTCTCCTTAAAACAGGAAATTGCATATGAAATAGCTTAAGAAAGGTATCTGCACCAGAGGAATCAGACACTAAGCAATGGTCTGAAGAAACTCAGTAAGACATAAATATTTAGGCCAGACAAGACTTGCCTTATGAGTAAACTATGAGTAGGAAAAAATCTCTAGGTAGTGCCTTTGGACAGTTCATGCAACCTAAACCCCATTATACAACTTCGTAAGCAGTCTACATAAACCTCTTGTCCAGGACAGACACTCCATTATAAAGCTCAATGGAATACTGGCTGTTGGGTGCAAGTGTCACTGAGGGATAGCCACACCAATGGCCACCGGCAGAAACTATTCCTAATATAAAGGTTGTGGCATTGAAGTCTGGAGACATTTTATTTCTGTAAGCCAGCATGAAACAGGTATATAGGAAGATGCCACAAGCTTACTCATTATGTAGCCTTGGGTTGTCAGTTCTCCTTTGTAACAGAGATAAAGAGAAAGCTTTTTCTAGGTGATGAAATGGCTCAGCAGGTAAGGGTGCTTTGCTGCCAAGCCTAAGGACCTCAGGGTCATCCCTAGGACCAATATGGCCCATTGTGGAAGGAGAGAACTGACCCCTACGAGCTGTCTTCAGACTCTTGCACAAGATCATAGCACATGCTTACACTCCCTTTCCCCCATATACAAATAAGTAAATGATATAAAAATTTAAAAACAAAATGTTAATGTCTTGGAAGCATGTAGAACTTTGCTGGTGTAGAAACCTGAGTCCATCCAGTGTCTATAATAAAGTGCTTGTAACAGACTGAAAAGATTGTGAACATCCAAGGGCTACTATGTTCCATGATGGTCAAAGGACTGCTCCTGATTTATTCCCAAGAACCAATCTCACAAAATATAACTGGTATTCAGAACCAGGCAGTAAGTAAAAAGCCGTTATGATTATACCCCTTACTTTGTAAAAGAAAACCACATTTTTCCTGACGTGGTTCCTGTGATATGGTTCCCCTAAACTAGCTAGCTACACCACCTCTGTTATCACTCCTCATAAAAGGCAGTGTTCAGTACCCATACACCTTGTTAACTCATAACATATAGGGAAGATATTAACCAATTAGGGAAAGTAGATCTACAGTTAAACAACTTACTAATGGAGTCACCAAAATTGCTGATATCAACGGAACTAAGACCAGGTAGCCCAGAGTAAATTTGCCTAGCTGCTGTGGCCAATTTCTCAGGCTTGCTGATGGAATCCTTTGGAGTTTTCTTTTCGTCTGAAGCAAGGTGATGAGTTGAAGAGAACTGGCTTTGTGTTTCCGTAGACAGCACTTCTTTCTTTGCAGGAAGACTCTTCCTCTTTTTGCAAGAGATGTTTTCTGGTTTACCAGCAGGGCTGGCAGCACCTTCAACTTTCACTGGAGTTTGGTTTCTAGTTGCCAGCTTCCTAGGAGTGACTATCTTATAATCTGCCTTGGCACCTTCACTTTCATTCAGATTCACAGATTCTCTTCTGCCACTAACGTGGGACTCTTCATTCTTAAGTTGCTGTGAATTCCGCACAGGGGTCTTCATTTCAGCTGTCTCAGCGAGCGAAAACCTGGAACTCAGAGCCTCTGTGGAAGTCTGAAGAGGCCCCACAGCACTACTCTGGTCCTCAGTCCAGATCTTTCCTACTTTGGGTGAAGAGACTGAAGGACCAAGGATGCTTCCACTGGATTTTGCTCTTGACTTGCATGACACCAATAGCTTTGTCTCCCATGTTTCTTTTCCTGCTGCACATTCAGGTTGTGGTTCTGACTTCCTACGAGACTGTTTCTGTGATTTTATATTCAACTCTTCCTTCATTGATTGATAGAGTTTCTCAAAGGGAGATTCATGTTTCTTGCTGTTGCTAAGGCTCTGTGCAGGAGAAGACTTCAGTTCCCTGGAACTGCTCCCTGCATCCCTGGACTTCTTAAAAAGAACATCAGAAGTGGGCTCTTCTGTGTTTCTGCCACTGTGCTGTTCTACATGCCCTGAAGAACAGGTATTGGATGGATCTTGGGTAATACTGTCCTTTGAACCACCTGAGGCAGAACTGTCTCCAGAGAGCCTCTTGGCATGCACCAAAGATCTTCTTGAAGTGGTTTTTGAAGTGCTGGCATCATGACCTTTCCCATCTTGGCAACAAATATGAAATAAGAAACAGAAGTTCAACATTTTCTCAATGACTAACATTTCTGGAATCCAGTACCTTATTTTAGATTGCCTTATAACCTAGCTTTTCATCATTTAGTCGACAAACTACTTAATCCTTTTTTTTTTTTTTTTTTTTGGATTTGAGACAGGGTTTCTCTGTAGTTTTTGGTGCCTGTCCTGGAACTAGCTCTTGTAGATCAGGCTGGCCTCGAACTCAAGAGATCTGCCTGCCTCTGCCTCCCAAGTGCTGGAATTAAAGGCGTGCGCCACCACCACCCGGCTACTACTTAATTCCTTAAACTTGTCTTACAATGTTGTTTCCATCCAGAAAAAACACATTAGCTTTGAATAATGAGTGATGTAACACATCTCACCAACAATTCAAGATTAAATGGACAGCTAAAAAGGCAAGCACTAGGGAAGAAGTTACCCAGCTATCTATCTGCTTTTGTTTGGCATATTAAATGGAACCAGGCTCTTAAGAGTTTAGAAGACCAAGAATTTCATGCCTGTGTCCCCAGAATCCCACCCTTGCCAATGTCATAATGATCTGATGCTGACATTCCCACAACAGAAACCAACCAATACCAACCAGGATCAGAGAAGCTAGCTCTTGAGGCTTGCTGTACCGGTTCCTATAATTGGGGAAGACAAGAATAGGAATTTAAGTGCCTTCTTAGTATGATCATTTTGAAACAATGAAGATATTCTTCTTATTAATTATATTCTTTAGCAAAGTCCTTCTTCATGACATTTAGATACTTGAGAAACAGACCCAAGTGACTTAAAAGTTCATGACCTAAACATTTCTTAGCAGACTTAAGAGCTTTCTTTTTTTCAATTTTAAGGTTTATTATTTGTTTATTTGTGTGTGTGTGTGTGTGTGTGTGTGTGTGTGTGTGTGTGTGTTTAGGCACATTTGTGTGGGTACCTGTGGAGGCAAGAACAAAATGTTGGATCCTATGTTAGCTGGAGTTACAGGCAGTTGTGAGTTGCCCAATGTAGGGGCCAAAAACTAAGCTTGGGCTCTTTGGAAGAACAGAGATGGGCACTCAATTTCTCTAAGCCATCTGTCCCGGTCCCCCCTCCTAGTACATTTTCTAGAATGTCTTCCAATATCACATGAAGGAAGACAAAAAGTTAAAATTAAGTTCCTCCATCTGCTAAGTCACCACAGGCACAAAGCTATAGATGCCATAGTTTCACCAGAAACTAGGAAGCTTCTTCAGCACTCAGTTTCCGCGATGTAATTATTTTAGACACACAGAGGTGGATAGGCTCAATGAATAGGAGACAAAATGAGTCATGAGCTGTATCTTTTATTCCTGTTAGGTCTCAAACCCAGGACAAATAGCTGAGGTGCCTGTCAAAGTGTAGGCTGGCTACCAGGTTCTCCCAGCATCCCTGTCTCTACCCATTACAAGATCCTTCTGGCTGACATACCCTACCCACTACCGTAAACTTCTCTAGCCCAAGGGCTAGGCTGCCCTCCCAAGCTACTCTGGCCCCTATATAACTCAGCTGTTTCAGCTATGCTCTTGGCCCAAGCTGTCCCTCTTTTGTGGGAGGCTCTTTTCCCCTCCCCTTTCTCCTCACATGGCCCTGCTCAGGGCCATGTTCACTCTGGACTCTCCCAGAAATCTGTCTTTACCTATGGTCTCAAATCTATAATATACCTCTTCCACCATGCCTAGGAGCAGCCATATTCTTCCTTTTATTCATCTTTTTTTTCATTCAATTTCTATGTTTTCAGACTATTCTAACCACAGGCTTTTGTAAAATCACAACACAGTCTAGTGGAGTATAATATAAGACCAAGTTAGCACTCTGTTTTTCAGTAGCATAAATAAATAAATAAATAAAGTTTTAGTTAATTTTACTATGTTCATGATCAACTTATCTCCTTATTTTATTATCTATTTCTGCTATAATCAGAAGCCATTCTTGGCCACCAATTTAAGAGTGAGAAATCAGTTGTTAAAACATGTTTTAATGAGTTCCCATCCTGGTAAAGGAAGAGTCAAACCTGAGTATCCCCCCTCACCTGTCCGAATGATTTTCCTGGAAATCCCGTTGATCTGCTTCCATCCTCATGATTTCCTTTTTCATACCTACAACGCAGAGAATCCGGCATAGGATTTGAACCTCCAGGTTCAGGTGTTATAGATAGAAACCATGGAACAAACTTTAGGCTTTGTTCCTAATATTACCTTAAGCCAAGAAATTGGTTTAGTTTAGGAAAAATTTTTATACTAAAAACTTACATGACGGAAAACTAACTACAAAGCATGTTTTAGAATAATGATCACTTCTTTTCCCAATCTCTCTGGAGGAAAGGCACATCTTAGGAAGATGGCATTAGATCATGGCAGATCTTGGTGGTCAGTCAGTTCATAGCCGAAACCATTTACTGTGTACAATGAAGCTTTGGTACCTCAGAGAAGTAGCCTGATTTGACTTTAGTTGCTGTCTATGTAAGATCTAAAGACAGCTAGCATCTGGAACCCTCTCCCAAGTATCATCTTGTTGAACTAAGCCTTTTTTTAAAGAGTCTAGTCAAATTAGAGACAAAGGACATTTTATGAGAACTTAAGGGTAAATCCATCAAGATATTGGATCTAAGAAAATAGTATATTTAAAGACAAGTTACTCAACAGCAAGTTCCCAGAAACAACAAAAGCCATAAGAATTATAAGAGTTGAAATTAAGGGATAGAAAAGCTGAGCTATGTGAGCACTAATCAAAAAGAACTGAGTTTACTTAGGAATCCTAAGGCAAAAGATATGACAAGCCAGGTGTGGTGGCACACGCCTTTAATCCCAGTACCTGGGAGGCAGAGGCAGGCGGATCTCTGTGAGTTCCAGATCAGCCTGGTCTACAGAGTGAGTTCTAGGACAGGCTCCAAAGCCACAGAGAAACCCCTGGCTCAAAAAACAAAAGCAAAAAAAAAAAAGTGACAAAAATAGACTCTATTTTAAACAACAAAGAATTTTGTGCACAATTTAGAATTATGCCCAGGCATATATAACCTGTGTAGCATCAAAAAATATAAATAAAACAAAAAGTGATAAAGAAATTTAAAAAAACAAGTTCTCAGTGGGTGATTTCAAAATAGCTCTTAAACTATTAAGCAGGGAAATATAAAATAATTACTAATAATAGAGAATTTAACAGCTCTATAGTTAGAACAGTGCATTCAGTAGCTGCAGAATACTATTTTCAAATACAGAAAGCGAGGAGGACATTTGATCACAAAGAAAGCCTTGACAAATTTCAAGTGGAAATCACTCAAATGCTCATCAAGAACAAATAAACTGTGAACACTCTTACACATTACTGCAAATATTGTGACCGTTAATGAAATGCCTATACCGTGAGAAGAAACAAGCCAAAGGCGCCCAACATGCTGCAAATCAAACACACACACAGACAGACAATAGTACCAGTCAGGCACAAACACATGGAGTTTTACGTTATGGTGTTTAGAGGCCCACCAGCAGGTAATATGACTCCAAAGATACTTCTCTCTTACAGACACCATGTAAGAGAGAAGTAATAAGAGAAAAGAAATAGTGATTAAAGAGAGCGCAAAGAAACGTGTAGAAATGTCCCGTGACTTGGCGGTAGTGTATTAGTGTGCTAATACTGCCACAATCACAACACAGACAGAGTGGCTTAAGTGACAGAAATGTGCTGCTCACGGTTCTGGCTGGAAGTTCAAGGTGTCTGCAGGGATGGCTTCCTCTGGGCCTCCTTGACCAGCAGCCCTCTTCCTGCCTCTTCAGTGCTTCCCCTCTGTGTACTTGCTCACCTGGTAACTCTGGCTGCTAATCTTTTCTCATTATAATGACACCAGTCATGGGGGTTAGGACTTCAGCCCAAAAGCCTCAGTTTAACATAATTGTTCTTTAAAGGCCAAAAAGCTGGCAATTTTAAGATGTGCCATCAACACTAGAAAAGCAAAAACAGGAGGGCTCTTGGGCTTGGCTGTCTAGCCAGTCCAGCCTACTTTGTGATTTAAAAAGGACCCATATCCAGAGGACGACACCTAAGGTTGTCCTTCATTCTCCATAGGCACAGGTGCAAGTATCTGTACACACACACACACACACACACACACACACACACACACACCACACACCCCATGAGATATTCCCAACACCCATCAACACCAAAGAAGGACCACAGCTGGACTAGTACTAGTTCATGATTAAAGAGAACACAGCATTTAGAATTAACCCCATTAGTTTTCACCTACCTAAAAGATCGGTCAATGATTGTAATTATATCTCCATGCTTCAGCTGCACAGGCTCATCTACAGTAGCCCCATTTACTTGTGTTGGGTTTGTGGAACTGAAATTATGCAAAATTGCCTACGAGCGGAGAGGAGAGGAAAATACTAAGGATTTGCTTAAAATCAAATCCAAAAGCTTTAAAAGTTGATTTCCAAACCCCACTTACCTGCTGGTCATTGATTTCAATTTTACAGTGCTTTTTTGACACTACAGGCAGTTGGATACGAATGTCACATTCAATACTCCTTAAAAAAAAAGGGGGGGGGAAGGTTTTTATGGGGTGTGTGCAACAACAAAACCCCACCAACCTCAAATTAAAGAAAAAAAAACAGACAGAATGTGACCAACACACTGAGACTGTAAGTGTAACGACACAATGACACAGTACTGCCTGAGAAGCCATAAAGGATTATTAAAACTTCTAGTACTTCAGAATGATATTAGAAAACACTAGAACACATAATCAATCACCTTTCAAATAAATAGCTACACTAGGCAGGGTGAGGTAACACACACCTTCAATCCCAGCACTGGGTAGGTGGAAGCAGGAGGATCTCTATGAGTTCAAGGTCAGCCTGGTCTACTGAGCTGTCTACCCAGGACTGTCAGGGCTACACAGAGACAAAATAGACAGCTATACTTACAAGACACAAATAACGGAGCACTTTATTATCAGTTTAGGAGAACTTTATAATTAATGTCTTTCTATAACAATATGGGTATTTAAGAAAGGTACTAGCATAAAATGGTAATTAGTTTCCTCGTATACAAACGGTCTATCCAGTACTCATTTGCTATTCAGTCATAGTTGTGCCACTTGTATATGTGGCACAGTAAATCCACAAGAGTTTTTCACTATTGTTTAAAAACCATGGCGGGGCGGTGGTGGCGCACGCCTTTAATCCCAGCACTCGGGAGGCAGAGGCAGGTGGATCTCTGGGAGTTCGAGACCAGCCTGGTCTACAAGAGCTAGTTCCAGGACAGGCTCCAAAACCACAGAGAAACCCAGTCTCAAAAAAACCAAAAAAACAAAACAAAAACAAAAATAAAAACCACACCATGTTGACAGATTCAAATGTTCTCACATTACAAATAGTAATCCACAAAAACTGTCTTTCTAGAAAGCTAGCATTGTGGTGGCACTGTCAGACCGTTTTCCTATGAACCTCTAGGGCAGTGGTTCTCAACCTTCCTGATGCTGTGACCCTTTAATACAATTCCTCATGTGGTGGTGATCCCCAACTGTAAAATTATTTTCATTGCTACTTCATAACTAATTTTGCTACTGTTATGAATAATAATGTAGATATCTGTGTTCTGTGGTCTTTTGGGTGGGGGCCGCAAACCACAGGTTGAGAATGGCTGGCTGCCCAGGAGTGTTAAGTGTATTATTTCCTATAAATACCACACAATCAAACATTAATTGTTTTCAAAATTTTTAAAACTTGCAAACAGTATATTTAATTAATATTGCAAAATAATCAAAATGAATGACACTTGTGACAAGAATAATTTTTTCTCTTGAACAACAACAAGAAGCTATGGTAAGTGACAGCATCCTTAACTGTCAAGAAAATGTAGGCTTTGGGTATCAAAACACAAGGCAGAGAGACCATATCTTAGATTCCAGTTTTATTGAGCAGAAAAGATGACGACAACGACACTCTATACTTCTTAACCTAAATACTACAGACATAGACCAAAGAATTCCTCAACGCCCTGTTCACCGTCAAACACACCAAGTCTCTGTCTCCTCACTCAGCGATACTAGCTACAGACACCTCTCCTAGGGTGACAAGAGGTCACCAGACTTTGTCAAATGTCTCCCTGAGAACTACCATTCTCCCTTGACCCCCAAATCCAAATCTCCATCTTCCTGCTGGACACTCACCCTATGTGACTGACTGATCTTACGTGTCAGGCACCATATGGCACTGTGGAGACGTAATCAGTAACAAGGCAGCCCTTGCCTCGGAGCTTAGTCTACTGAGAAGCAGACGAACAAAAATCTGAAAACTAGTCACCAATCTGCATGGTGTTAGGAAAGACGAGCTTTCCTTTCACCTTCTCGGGTAACATTTTAAAATCGGCAGAATGGGCCGAAAGGGTCACACTTGGCAGAAGTGGCAACGCAAGCAACAGCTTGGAAGGCCTCAGGGCAGAGCGTTATTATCCGACCCGCAGGGGAAGAGAAGGGGGAAATTCTCCCGGAGCACCCGAGCAGCGCGGGAGCGGCGGGGCATCGACGTCAGCTTAGCGTCCACCGAATGTAAAACCCGGGTTCCATTTGGGAAGCTCCAGGTACCCGAACATGACTTCCGAACACCCTACAGGGCCAGCCCGGCCAAACGCGAAGGGCGACAGGGCCGCGGCCCGGGATCACCTAGGTTCCTCCGCGCGCGCGCGCTCACCTTCCGAACAGGCAGGAGCTGAGGGTCAGCGGGAAGTGTGCGCCGTGGTCGCCGTTCCGCTTGATGGTGACCAGGCGAGCCGAGGACGCCATGGTAAGCCCGGCCGTCAGTCTGAGACGAGCGACTGCGGCCGAGGACCGAGTGGCCTTCTCGGTGAAGCTCGCTGTGCGCCCCCGGCCGGGACCGCTCTTCAGCGGGTCCAGTCCGCGTCAGAGCCGTCGGCTCCTCAGCCGCGGCGATCCCACCGCGGCCACCCGCGCCCCTCGCTCTGCCCCGACCCACACACCCGCCGCCCGCCGCTCGCCGCTCGCCGAGTGCCCTCCTAGGGAGTTCCGCGCCAAGTCTGCCCGCCGCGCCCGCCCGATTCAAACGAAAACGGCGGTTCAAAATCTGGCGCTAAGTGCTGCGATTGGGCCAGACGGCGCAGCGGGAGACCAATGGGAAGGGTGACATGAGAGGGGGCGGAGCCAGAGGTGGAGGCCAGGCTGCGGCAGGGTTTGTGGGGCGGAGCCGGACGGGTGGGCGTGGTCAAGATGCAAGGCCGGCCAGGCTGGAGTCCCCGCTGTGGGCGTGGTGCGGAAGGCGGACTGGACCTGGTTGGTGGGCGGCTCAGCTTTGCAGCTCCGCGGAACCCAAACAAGGAGATCTGTAAAAAACCACCTTTAGGCTCCCGTTCCAGAAATCAAACAGGGGCAACACCGTGTCTTGCTTAAAGCTAAGAAGAGCTTTACGTTTTTTAAATTAAAACTCTTCCTCTGCAGTTTCTGCATCACCTTAAGTATAATCAGAGGTTGTTTCTCCTGCCTTTTCAGTATCCACCTGTCTGATGTTTCAAACATGGGATGGAGGGCGTGTTACATTCATCCTACATCTCCCTTTCCCCTTAGTGAACGCTGAGGCTGTGGCGCTGTATTTAGGAAACCACCACTTACTTAGCAGTTACTGTTGCAGCACAGTTAAGTTGGCAACGCTTTGCTGTTAGGGGAGAAAAATCATGACAATTAAAATAACCTGTGCAAGACTACACCTTATAATCGTGATCCTGGTTTTCTGGGACCAGGTGCCGGTAAGGTGAATGTAGACTAGCCATGCCTTTGGTGACCCCTTTTTTTATGCCCCCTCCTCCTGTTTCTGGATCTGGACCAGTGTTTTCCCAGTAAGGTGTTGTGAAAATTCCCCAGCTGGGGAGATATAAGCATTGTCTACCCTTTTCTCATAAGGTCCCAAGAACAAGCCTGAAGTCTGATTCTGTCAAAGTTCACCGTGGGAAACCGGGATTAGACCACCCAAACCCAAGCTGATTAGTTAAGCGTACCTCTTGGCCTCTAAACCTACACCTCTGGTCAGGTTTATATTTATATATTTAGGGTGTCATTGTGCCTCTTTGTTCCTTTTCACAACGGGGCCACATTGAATAAATCTCCCTGTTCTGCTTTTCACTGTTACCTGCCTCTTTAGCTTATTGAGAATGGGTGCCTGAGCCTTCCTGATTAGGCTGCAAGGATTCAAACTCTACTCTAACCACTTAGGCTTTACTTTCTCATCCCCAAATCTAAGCAATACACCTAATAAGCGCATCTCAGAATTGCATTTACCAAAGGGAATTCATTAAGAAAAAACAGCACTCGGGAGGCAGAGGCAGGCGGATCTCTGTGAGTTCAAGACCAGCCTGGTCTACAGAGCTAGTTCCAGGACAGGCTCCAAAGCCACAGAGAAACCCTGTCTCGAAAAACCAAAAAAAAAAAAAAAAACCAAAAAACCCCACAAAAGCCCAGCTTCCTATATGTAATTGTTACTTTATTGTGAATTATGTGTACGAGTGTGTGTGTGTGTGTGTCTGTGTGTCTATGTGTCTGTGGGTCCAGGTGCCTGTGGAGGGCAGAAGAGAGCACTGGATCTGTGGAGCTAGAGTTGTAGGCAGTAGCTACTGGGACCTGAACTCAGGTTCTCTGCAAGAGCAGCGAGATCTCTTAACCACTGGGCCATCTCTTCCGCTTGCAGCTCACGTATTTGCTTTTTAAGCAGTACTTAAATTTTAAGCTTTATGCTTTGTTGTAAATTATAGCCTTGGGGATGTAACTTTAAAAGCCATGGTGTCTCATTACTTTTCTATTGTTGTGACAAAACACCGTGATCAAGGCAAACTTATTAAAACAAACAAACAAAAAAACAGGTTCCTAAACAGTTCCACCAGCTGGGGACCAAGCATTCAAATATAGGAGCCCATGGTGGGGACATACTCCCAACCGCAGGACTATATAAAAAGTCATTTAAAAGACACTCCATTCTCTTTTCCTCATTCTTCACTTTAAAGCATATGTTCTCCCTAATCTTCAACTCTTTGGCTTTGCTTTACTCTGGCTCATGCTCACATTCTTTAAAGCAACAAAGTCAATGAAGGAGGGCCCTGGGGGCAAAGAGAACCCCTGGGGCTGCTGACTGCAGGGCCGGGCTCTGACTTCTCAATACTGCTGACACAGGAACCAATCCAAGGGGCCTGTAAAGCTCCACCTCATCCCTATCTCCCCATCACTGTCACTGGGCCCCCTTCAGCTTTCCCATTTTCAGTGGAGACAAAGATTTTACTGTGAAGGTAGGATAGAGGGAGGGAGGGAGGGAGGGAGGGAGGGAGGGAGGGAGGGAGGGAGTCAGACTGTTGGGGCACAGGAAGACTGGGGTCCATCTACAGTGAGCCCAGGGCCTGCAGAGAAGCTAACCGGCTTCAAGTCCTCTTACCCCCTACCCTCCACTCCCACCTCCCCAGGATCCAGGCCCTCTAGCAAGAACTGAACCTTCCAGGCCAGCCCTCCCTTTCACAGCACTCCACAGGTCTTTACCAGGTCTGCAGGGCTCCTCTGACTAATGCCATATTTCTGTCCCTACCGTGACCCCTGGACCTTTGCACATAGCTCTTTGGGTAGTGGGCCCCTATTAGGGTAACCTTCCCAAAGCACAGATGGGCCCACATCCCTTGTTTCTCTCCAGTTCTGTTCCTATTTCTCCATTCATGTTTTCTCAGCACTAAGAGGATAAAATGCGACCTCCGATGACCCCTGGGGCTCAGCTTGGACTCCTCTGTTGGGCCATTACTCCAGACTGAGCCAGGTCACCTGACTCTCTGCCTACCAGGCCTCCTTCCTTCAGATCTTCTGATTGCTATCAGAAGGCTCAGTCCTGCCAGGCTCTGAGATCACACAGGCACATACACACTCACACACACTCCGGTCCCTTGCCCTCCGGGCCCAAGCCACTCCCATTGCTCAGTACCTAGCTTCTTCCTGCTGACAAGAACCAGGCTCTCTGCAGCTCAGAGCTGATACACTCTGATCCCCTTTTCTCTCTAGGGGGAAAAGCCACTGAGCTCTCACAGTTGGTGGCCCACCTCTGGTCCAAGCAGTCAGAGAACCCTCCAGAAGGGAGTTTGGGTTAGAATTAGGGTTCACTGTCATCTTCAGGCCTCCATACCCATATACAAATAAATATGGGGCATGGGTGTGCCCCAATATACGCAAACATGCATAGACACTCTTCATATGTGCAATAAATAAACCAAATCTATATAAACAAGTAAATAAAATGGCTTTTTTCATCGAATATTATAAACATTTTATTATAGGTAAATGTTGTAATGATAATTCTGTTTCCTCCTATTTGGAAATTGGTAGTTTTTTCTAGTATTTTATTATTTAATAAGTGCTTTGAACATGTTGAGACACAACCGTGTTTTGATATGCAGGTCTTAGAGCTTCCAAAATCTAGCCTTTCATCAAGCAGCATGCACTTCAATCACTAAATTGCTGTCTTCCCAGGAGGCTGTCACAGTCTGTCCGCCAAGTTCAATGCCTGAGAATATCTGCTTGATACCCGATCTTTTCTTCATTAGCATTTAAAATTCCCTGCTAATTAGCTCATTCAAAAAGGAGTATCATTTTGATTTGAATTGTTCAAATTAACATTAAGTTTGAAGACTCCCCTCCCCGTTCCATGTTTCAGTGTTTCATCTTTCAGGTTTGTGTGTTATCACCTGGTGTTCTCTTGCTGACTTCCGGCTCCCCTTGCTCATTTGTCTAAGAAACACATTTCTGTTGTGTAGGGTTCCTAGAGATTTACAAGTCAGTCAGAAGGCTGAAGACTAGTGAAAACCGCTTTGCTGGCTGCCTCCGGAAGATGTGTGGAAGATTTGAAAACTTGCCAGGTCTTTAAGTGAGTTCCAAATGATGAACCAAAATAACACCCTCCCTGCTTAAGTTGCGTCTTGTCTGGTATTGGTTTCCAACAACAAGGAAAGCCACTAGCAGAGAATAGCTCGTGCACTGTCCCTCCACGGGGTGTGTAAGGAGCAGTGGACACATTGCCTCGCCAAAGGGGTGTGTAAGGAACAACCGATGTATTGCTCTCCATAGGGGTGTGTAAGGAGATCCCATGCGCTGCCCTTCCACAGGTGTGTAAGGAGGTGTACCATAGCCACTCCCCTGGAAAGGAGACATCAGACCTTTTAAATTATCAGAATCTGACAAAATAAAGGGGAAACTCCATTAGGGTGAGTTTGGATATTTGCATTCCGGGGAACAGATCTTCAGTACTCGTGATCAATACTCTAACAGTAGATCAGACACCTTTCTAGATTATGCTCTCTTTTACTTGGACAACTTTGGACATGATCCACAACTGACTTTCTGCCATCATAAAAAGGACTTAGAATTCCAGGTTTATTATTGACATTAGAAAAATCTTTCACTATCATCCTAACTAAAGTCTTACCCTTGAAATACCAGAAATGTCTTGTTAGGAAATGGTAGGAATCTGATTTTATTTTGCTGGGGTGTGTGTGTGTGTATGCAGATTTGACTTGCAAACCACATGAATGCTTACAAACATATAAATAAGATGTTAAATGTACTAAAATAAAATTAATTACATTAAATAAAAATGTTGTTTTTATTTAACATATATTATTTACCCTAAATAATTAAAGAAAAGAAAGGAAAATCCTGAAAGTAGGATTTAAAATAGTATAAAATGCAGCAGCATGACCTGAAAGTAATTCAAAGTATAATATTGAATGGCACGTCCATTAGGAAACTGGTATTTCCTGAGGCTACAATAACCTGAAAAAATTAAGCAGTCTTCAATAATTATATTGGCAGCAATATAGATATCATTATTCTGAACCTCTATGTTATTATAGGGGAGTTAGGGTGATGTGAATGTTGTGGGATCAGAACTTCTTTCTTCAGCCCAAGGAAAAGGGATATCAGCATAAAATTTAAGCAAGTGATGTGGTCTGTGAGTCCAGTAGAAAACAGTAAAGGTCCCCACCCTGGGATGCTTTAT